GTTTCCATGAATTTTTGGTTTTCTTCATTCTTCTTTGCTCTGGATGAGGAGAGACCCATCGTTGCATCTAGATGGCAGCTTGCAAGCTTTTAAGATCCCAGTCGCTACTTGCCACAGTAGGAGGTGGAACAATATTTTGTGTAGTATGTTATACCAATTGAGCTTGATGTCCCCTGTGACTATGGTCCTGAGCCCACAGGTTCAACTACATGGTCTCTCTGGGTAGCTGGCTGTGACCAAGCAGTGATTACAACCTTGCCTCTTGTCAGCTCTACTATACACCTGGTAATTCAGATCATACTTATAAACTTATAGGACCATTGTCTGCCAACCCTATACATGTTCTTGGGTACACTCCCTGCTTCATAGGCATTCCTACTAGTTTCAGATGTTTCTTAAACCAATCTCTAGTGGATTACCTGTGATTCATCACATTCTGGCTTGGTACTTATTCAATAATAAAAATTTTCTTTCTTTTCTTATAAAAAAAAAAAAGGTATCTCTTAAACTTATGCCAATTTTCATTCTTTATTTCTCATGCATTTGAATTTATTTCACTTTTATATGCATAGCAATTCTGAAAGCTTTTTACCTTAAAACATTCTTATGCCACTGTTTACTAAATCTTCTTGCAATATATTGATGTTTTCAACATGAATTCCTCAGCTGCACTGAAACTGCATTACACGGCAGATGTGTGCTGCCTCAGAATGGAAACAGATTCGTACTCTTGGAAGACACCAGCAACTCAGGCTTCCAGTGTACTCTGTGATAGGAATCCACTATATGGCTTCTCATATCTTTAGGACACATCTAGCTAACACAAAATATATTCTAAATGCATATCTATCTTTTCTTTGTTAACACAAAGTTCCTCTTAATAGACTAAAAAGATTTGACATTGATTATGTTTATTTTATAAATAACTTTTGTGCAAATATGTATTCTTTCAAATAATTTTATACCTGTTATTTTTTAAAAGCTTAGGTAATAATTTCTTCAGTGTATACTTTATGTTTAACATAAATGGATTAGATATAATTAGCAGTTTATTCTTTTTACTTCCTGTTATTTCTCTTTCTCTGGATTTTTCACTTACTTGAAAATTCTCTCCCTGGTAGCATGGAAACCATGGGGCTATCTTTAACTACTGAAAAATCAAAAATAAAACTCACGAGTTGACTAGACCCATCGCGACCCGTCCTTGGGTGTCTGAGGTGGTATCTGCTCAGAAGTAGATTAACCAGTCTTTCTTCTGAGGAGTGGTTGGTTGGTTTGAACTATCAGCCTTCTGGTTAGCAGTCAAATGCCCTAGGCACTACACCACCAGAGCTCCCATGTTTAACTACTAACTGTTCCATTATAAGCTGCTTTTATGCGTGGTGGAGTGATAAGTTTTGGCATCAGAAAGGCATGGAATCAGTTACAGGCTCTCTCTTATTACAAGCTGTGTGACTACAGGGTAATTATTTAACTTCTCTGAGTCTTATACATACAATGGTGATTACAATACTAAACTCAAAAGGTTACTGTGGTGATCAAATGAGATAACCTATATCAGGCATGCAGAAAAGTCTATGTTCCTCCACTTTCTTTAACCAGGTCATTAAAATGCTGGATTTCTAAATCTTGATCAGAAGACTTTCATCAGTAAATTTCATGGTGTATCTAGATGTTAACATTAATGAGACTATCTAGTTATTGGTTACACCCTAATGGGTCCTTATTCTTTTTACATAATTAGGAGCCACAACCAGTGATGTCATGAAGAATGAGTCTATCACTACAACTGCAACAGTGACAAATACTGCACTTCCAAATACTGCTCCAACATTACCAAGTTCCCAACCCAAGAGTAAGCATGAGAATTTGTTCTGATAAGTTAAAATAATGTATTGGAAACCATTTACTTAATAAGAAATGTACACCAGATGGGAAAAATAAAAAGCAAAGGGTAAGATGGCAAATAGAAACATAATTATATTGGCAATTATATAAAATTAAATGTCAATGATCTCAACAACAACAACAAAAAACTGACTGCCCTTGAGTGGATTCCAATTCATAGAAATCCCCATTGGGTTTCCAAGGCTGTAAATCTTTAAGGAAGCAGACTCCTCATCTTTATTCCATGGGGTAGCTGGTAGCTTCCAACCAACAACCTTTTGATTACAAGGGAAATGCCTTAACCAGTACACCACCAGAGCTCCTTTACCAATGATCTACATGTTCCAAATTAAATAAAAAGAGATAGATTGTCATAATGAAAAAAAAAACACACATACTCAAAACCAAAGTATGTGCTGCTTACTTACAAAAGGCACACAGAAAAGTTTAAAGTGAAAGAATGAAAAATTCTAATTTAATAAAGAGATTCAGTCTGTACATATGTAAAACAAAGTAATCTTGAAAGCAAAATTTAAATGAAGAAAAATAGGAACATCCCGTCATAAAAAATAGTTAATATTCCAGAGGAATGAAGTAAATATTTTAATAAACCTCTCTTAACAGTTGATAAGGGAGCTCTGGTAGCGTAGTGCCTAAGGCACTTGACTGCTAACCAGAAGGCTGGCGGTTCAAACCCACCAGCCACTCCTCAGAAGGAAGTCTGGGCAATCTACTTCCATAGTGATACTGCCTCAGAAACCCAAGGAGGGGTCACTATGAGTCAGGGCCGACTCGGCGGCACGTAACAACAACAACAACAACAGCAGTTGATACAATAGTAATAATACAGCATTAAACAACACCATTGAAAAACTCAATCTAGAGGACATTACAGTTCAGCTATATAAAACAAATTATTTCTATTTACTTAAATATATCACAGACTGAGCCATATGATCTCATTAAATTTCAGAAGACAGAAATCATACAGAGTATTTCCTAATCCAAGAGGAATTAATTTAGTGATCAATAACAAAAAGGTAGCTAAAATACAAGCACATGCTTATAAATTTAAAAATTGTTACCACTGTTGTATGCTGTCAAGTTGATTCTAACTCATAGTGACCCTGTGGGACAGAGTAGAACTGCCCCATCCTTGACTAAAATCTTTATGGAAGCAGATTGCCTGTTCTTTTCTTCTATAGAGCTACTACTGTTGTTGTTGTTGTTGTTATGTGCTGTCGAGTTGGCCCCGACTCATAGCGACCCCTCCTACTAGTGGGTTCGAATTGATGACCTTTTGACTAACAGCTGAGCACTTAACCAGTATGCCACCAAGCATCCTTAAATTTGAAAAATATTTCTTGATAATATATGAGTCAAAAAAGTATTCACAATGGATATGAAAAAATAATTTAAACCAAAGGACAATGAAAATACTACTTATAAAAATGTGTGCAATACAGTTAAAATCATTCTTACACTGAAATGTATGACTTTAAAATTCATATACAAGCAGTCCCTGGGTTAAAATTTCAGGCTTACATACAATCCATAGTTACAAACCAAATCAAAAATTACCAAACTCGTTACCATCAAGTCTATTCTGACCCATAGCAACAGTCTTTCAGTTTCTGAGGCAGTAAATCTTACAGAAGTAGATTGCCCAGTCTTCCTTCTGCAGAGTGGCTGGTGGCTTTAAACCGCCAACATCCTGGTTAGCAGTCAAATGCATTAGGGACTACATCACCAGAGCAACCTCTATAAGACCTATTACATTAAAAATCTGAGGTACATACAAGGTTCATAACAATAAAGTGCTACTTGCAACATGCATCAAAACCTTGTTATTATTACTACTAGATTATCATGTTAAACATGTTTTATTGGCTCTGGAAATGTTTCTTTACTGTTTTTTTATGCATAGAAAGGTACATTCTGCTCTATATACTAAGACAACAGTTGACTGTCATTAGATAAGAACCATACTTAACTGTTATGAATTATGTACAAATTTGACTTAAAGATAGAATTATTAACAGAATTCATTCATAATCTGAGGATTGCCTACTTTAAACCCACTACCACCAAGCTGATTCTGACTCATATTGATCCTGTAGGACAGAGTAGGACTGCCCTATAGGGTTTCCAAGGTTGTAAGTCTGTACAAAAGCAGACTGCCTCATCTTTCTCCTGTAGAGTGGCTGGTAGATTTGAATTGCTGACCTTTTGGTTAGCAGCCAAGTATTAACCACTATGCCACCAGGGCTTCTTTACTGCTTATATTATGGAAGTAAAAGAATGATTCAAAATTAATTATTTGAACAACTATCAGAAGAAGTTAAAAGAAAAAAAAAAGATTAATTAAATCCAAGGAAGAAAATTAAATATATAAGAGGTATATAGTTAATGAAATGTAAATAAAACATTCAAAATATTGTGTTCTTGAACTTGAAGTCATAACACAGTAGCTGTAACAAGTATAAACACAAAGAGAAGAAAGATTGGAAAGATGAAGAATAAAATGTCAGTATGCTCTGAGATAATATCAGGAGCCCAAACGTATTTGTGATTGAGGTTGCAGAAAAGGCAAAACCTTTTCAAACAACATATGAAGAAATATTGACAAAATAGATTCAAGGAGCTCCGGGAACACCAAGCTGAGAAAAAAAAAAAAATAATAATAAATAATAAAACCATACAAAGCATATCATAATCAAATTATGGAAAAGTAGACATAAAGACAAATATTAAGAGAAGCTCCTGAAAAAATGACACATTAAGCAGAAGGGAACAAAGATAAGAATGACAGTAGGTTGTCAGCAGGAACAATGCAAGTCGGAAGACAATAGAACAATATCTTCAGTACTGAAAGAAAAAAATAGTCACCTTATAACTCTATAAATATTTTATCAGATATTCAAGGCTCAGACAACTATTATCAGGAGAGAAAATGTTAAAGGAAGGCATTCAGGAAACAGAAAATATGACAGAAATTTGAATCTAAATAAAAGAATAAAGAGCACTAGAAATGATAAATACATAGTAAATATAAAATATTTTTATTTCATTT